CAAAAACCAAGTGGAGAGGATTTTAGATCCCAACTGCATACACGGATTACCATGGTGGAGTTAAAAGAAAATGTGTGGTTCAAACAAGACTACACTCCTCTAGATCCTATTGAATAAGAAAATGTATCAGATGATGAAGCATCTCAATACATGAGGTAATTTGAACTTCAATTCTTCATTGTTGGCATCTGCTTCATTTCACAACTTCTTCCCTAAAATTAATGGTGTAACCTATCCATTCTACAGCAATCGGACGCAGAAAAAGATCCAGAATCACCCACCCTCATCAATGCCTTTCAGCTGATTGGAATGTCCTTTTACCTGGATCTTTCTGGCTTCTTTAAAAGAGGTATGGACGACAGTAGAGTTAGCAGCTTCGTTATATATTTGAGCATGACACCCCAGTATTCACACAATTTATCATCGCTTGAGCAACATAAGGACATATTTATTTTACTTCAGGATGTTTCTGAGAGAAAAATCATAGAATTTTACCGATTATGATGTAAATTTCTAAAAGATTTAGGTGGAAACTTACTGAACTTTCAGAATAATTTAGCTTTCCATTAATTTATATAGTTGAAAGTAATGCAAGAGCACAAAGGTCATAAAGGCCTTTGTAGATAGATGGCCAGCAATGCCGGCAAAGTAATTAATATATGTAATTATTATATTATTAAATGTAACTATATCTCAAAGAATTTTCGATCATTCTATTCTATTCAATTCTGTCTATATAAATTTTATATTTTAATTTGAACTTTAAATAAAATTATGCTGTCAAAAAATATGCATTCTTCCATGAAAACTTTGATATTTACTTATTTGGTATCAAAACAGATAGTACACAATCAGATCAAACAGTATACCCCTTCATAAATTTATTTATGTATAGCGGGCTCTAAAACTATCACACAGAAAAATCAGTGTTCCAGTAAAATAGGAACACAGTATTCTATTTACATAGTGTAGAAGTACTCTACATGATAACTCTTTACAGATGATAAGTTCCGAAGATACCAATACCAGAACGAGCAAGGCAAATCATTTATAAACTTTATTTCGTTGTAAGCCTGAATGAAAATCATGGTAGACAAAGTTAAATGTACCCGATAAGGCCTAGTTCATGGCAAGTCTGTCCCCAAGTTCTTTAGTGTATGCCTGAATCAACCCACTGCTATCTGCCGTTTCAAGCTTTTCATTTAAAAGAGTCTTGTATTGAGCATCTCTATCTTCTAAATTACGCATCAATTCAACCTACAGAACAAGCATGAGATACAATGCATAAGCATGCCATAGATAGAGACAGAAAAGGATAAAAGGCTGATTATACCTATTATGCTAACCTTTTACATTAAACCGAAATAGAAAACCAATCATGTGTTACAAGACAAAAATATGGAGGAAACTAGGTAATTGTGCTAGTATAAACACCAATCCTACATGTCATTTCTTTTAGTATCTGCAGGTTTACCTTATTTTACACTACTGAGAGATAAATTTATACTGCAAACAATGCATAGCATATAGATAGTAAAGTTATCATCACTTTCAACAAGAATTCAAATGAGAGCATAAATCATAGTAACATGACCCATTTCTGTCTTTCCAGATTATGCACGGAAAATGGTATTAAAATGCTAAACAAACTTAACACAAAAGTAAAATCTTAAAACAATTCTGTACACGATATGCTCATGGCCAGTGGTCCGTGACTTGCATAAAGCATCGACAAGATGATCCACGAGTAAGATTTGAACATTGAAGAGAACAAAAAAATAAGTTTCTCATTATCATATATGTTTTACCTGTTTCTGGAATAAATCAAACTCGTCTGAACTTAGAGAACCATCACTGTTGGAATCAAGGATGCACATCATCTCCCGGGCATCATCCCCTTGAGCACCAAGCTCTTCCATTATTTCCATAAGTTCCTCAATGCTGATTTTACCATCTCCATTTTTGTCAAGAAGGCAGAAAACCCGATCTCTATGATCAATTTCAAGCCCAACTGGATTTCCAGAAGGAAGATCTTTAAGACGCAATGCAGCTAGTTCAGCCGCAGCCATCATGATCGCCTTAAGATGCTTTGCCTGTAAATTCGTGAACAGCAGAAGATCTTAGTTTCACGAAATGTGACATTGCATATACCATCATTTGCAGGTGATTGTACCAAAATGCAACACAAATATGAATAAAAAAAATTCAGGTCATATAAAGTATCTCCATGAAATTACCATTGTGATGATTTTTTTTTTTTTTTTTTGGGGGGTGGGGGGGTATTTAAAAAAATTTAAAAAATTTTTAAAAAAATTNTTTTTTTTTTTTTTTTGGGGGGTGGGGTGGTGTTTAACGGTAAATGGTAAATCCAAGAGCAACTAGATCTTGAAGAGGACGGGATAGTGATTATTAGATTGCATCTCACGTATTAGAGTTCTTACCTCTTCTGGATCTGTGAGACCACCCTTGTACAATGCATGGGAAGCAGTTCCACCAGCGGCCATCATATCCATCTCTGCTGTACGTACTTGTATTTCCATAAGTGGTCTTGATTTACAATTGTCACTAATATCAACAGCCATATGTAAACTTCTGTACCCATTAGCCTTGGGACGTGCAATATAGTCTTTAGACCTACTTGGCAATTCTTTCCATACAGATTGGATGATTTCTCGTACCCTATAGCATGCTTTTTCCCCAGCTTTGGATGAATTCAATCCAGATGCAGGACTTAATACTACTCTTAATCCTAAAATGTCATTCACCTCCTCAGGTTTACGTCCATCTCTCAATAGTTTCTTCATGGTACTGTAACGACTTTTATAACGGCCTTCAATAGATATATTTTCTACCGTTTCTGCTAAAAATGGATCAGATCTTAGGGTCTGAAGCAGCTGCTCCTTGTATATATCTATTAAAGGTGTACTTCCAGTCTCATGGCTCCTCAACCATGCATCAACATAAAGGAAGGAACAGGGAAAAAGGTAGTGGAATGAGAGATCCTCCAGTTCCAGGGATAAAATTTTGGTTCCAATGGCATGTGCTAATGGAGCATATATCATCATAACCTCAAGAGAGATTACTTGCTGCTTGTACCTGGGGAGATAATCAAGGTGTCTCATAGTATCGAGCTTTAGAGCGAGGTCTAGAATTATAGCCCTGATATCGTAGTATGTCAGGCAAAATTTTCTCAGTGCAGAGGCACTCTCATCATCTAGTGCTTCCACTTTAGAAGAAATGTTCTTTAAACGCATGCTTTCATGCAATAGATGAGCTGTGCCAATGCCAATACGATCCTTCACTTCATATATGGATATGGCACCTCTCTCTAGACCTTCTCTCAGTATTCCAGCAGAAATAACTTCAGCATCCATCTGCAGCCAATGTTAAATATGATCGATTTTGAGCTTCTAACAAACCTTTCTCACAAGGAGCTTAGAAGATTAAATGGCCTTAAAATAACTATTTGAGCACATATCAAACTCTATAAAAACTAACTACTTCATGGAATTCTCATCCAAGAAACATGAAATTAGATTCTCATTTTCATGTTTGGACAAAATTCATAATTGCAACAAATATTAATACTACTACCTTTTTTGGGTAGTTAAAAGTCTTCCATTCATAAAAGAGATGCGCATAGAAAAGAGAGGAGTAGACTACTGGTCATGTTTAAGTGGATGTTATTGTGAGATATATATCAAATATATTATTTGAAAGAAATAATTAAATTAGATAGTAAAAAGTGTGGAACTTATGTGGGAGGTCGGCACTTCAAATCACATCCCACACGAATATTAAAAGTCTATCATTGGACCTTGGAGCCTAGAGTACTAATGAGAGTTTTAGAAATCGTTTGTAATTGCTGCACAAGTGATTCGATTGTTATATCAGAGGTGTGACTGTTCAATCGTTTGATAAGTTTTCTTACTTTCTGTATTTTAATTGCTGTTGTTGAAAGGTATACGCAACTAATTTCTCCAACAGTTGTGTTGTTGAGATGTCGTTAAATGGGACAGTAGATGTAGCCATGGCTCAAACACAGTGGCGAAAAATGAACTGAACATAGCATACCAAAAAAGAATTCTTATAGTCCACCCCAAAATATATCGGGACTTAGTTTATTGATCAAAATTTATTTGTCCTCTTAGTAGTTAAATTGTCTGATTCTGCAGTTTCACTGAAGACTTGCTTTTGCTACAAGATTGCTTCTATTGGGAACTTCGTCGAATAGATGCTAAGATACCACTAGAAGAAAAATAAGAGAAAAAAAAAACTTAAAAGAGAAGAACTAGTGAAGGACTGGGTTGAGCGTTGACCTGAAGATCGGCGAGGATGACAGCAACAGACAAGGCCTTTTCAAGAGGAGAGCGGCCGTGAGAGTTGGGCGGGAGAGTGTGGAGAAGGGGAATGGAGAGCTTGAGGACCTTGAAGAGCAACCTGGACGAACTAGTGGAGAGTACAGTTTTGTTCATTCTCTCAGTAAGCTCGTTGAAGGCTCCCACCAGCTCCACCACCATCTTGCCTCCGGGCTGCTCCAGTGTCATCTCCGCCGCCGCGGGTCTCTGGGAGAGTGGCAGTGCCAATAATAGTCTTGGGTGTTTCTCCCGCCACCCCGGGAAAATTGGAACAAAGAATGTGGAGATTGAGGGGCATTTGGGGAGAATTATGGGCTTTGAAAATGGATGGGAATTTGAATGGAGATGGAGGTGGAGCTGCAGCTCCATTACTGGTAGTAATCCGTCTGCTACTCTGAGAGCCAAGGAGTCTCCGTCTTCTCTGCTCTTGTAATTGTTCGATGCAATCCTATCGAGTGGCTAGATTTTGGCCAAAACATCATTGGATAGCCAATACAAAATGAGTAATGTGTGACTAAATGATAAGCATAATAAAATAAATTATTTTAATCTTATTTTTTATTGAATTTATCACTAAACATCATTTGAATGGATGGCTTTAACATCAATAGTAATAAATAATATAATTCATACAATATACATACAATTACAGGTTATGAGAAAAAAAGATTATGTAAAGATGTTTTTGAAGTAGTTATTAGAACTGAGAATCTGACTTTTCGATTTTCAACCTGAATAACTTGAATTGACTCCAAATTGAAGTAGAATTGAGAGATAATTTAATCAATAATCAACTTTACTATAGATTACTACTTGCTCACTGATTTTTAAAAAGTTACTCATTCTTCACCGAACTTTATTATAAGTGAAAACTTGTTCATCGAAATTTAAAAAGTTACTCATTGCTCACCAATTTAAACAAAGTTATTAGTTCCTCACTGAACTTTACTATAAGTTACTACTTGCTCGCCGAAATTTAAAAAATTACTCGTTGCTCACCTATATTTGAATAAAATTATTCGTTGTTCACTGAATTTTGTTATAAATTACTACTTGCTCATCGAAATTTAAAAAGTCATTCGTTATTTACTTAAATTTGAACAAAGTTACCAATTTGCTCATTGAACTTTACTATATGTAACACTGATGAAAATAATATGAGTGATTGATGGGTAACTTTGTTCAAATTTGGATGAGCAACGGATAATCTTTTAAATTTTCAGTGAGCATGTAGTAACTTATAAGAAAATTTAGGGAGTAAAGAGTAACTTTTTATAAATCAGTGAACAAGTGATAAGTTATAGCAAAATTCATTAATTATTGATTAAATTATCTCTAGAATTGAAGGTTCAACTCCGTTCAATCAATTTTCATATACCCACAAATTTTCTAAATTTAAATAGAACTGGATGCTCAATACGATTCTAGTTTAGTCCAATTGATTATGTATAAAATTTCCACCTCTACACACAATTGATCGAAGCATTCTAGAATGAAAATAAAAGTAATAACGTTCAACCCATGTTTGGTTAAAATCAAAAATTAATTTCAATTATATATTTTATGAAACCTACAACTTTTCAATTATATATTTTATCAATTTTTATCAAAATGTATTTAAAATAAAATTTAAATTTAAATTCCCACCAAACAAGTACTTAATATATTTGGAGTCCTTCGCGACGGGATCAACCCAACTCTCGAGAAGAACTAGTGGTTCTACAAGTAAAAAAAAAAATATCATATCCGACAGTGCAACTACAATGTGTAAACTAATATATATTTTTTTTTTTCACATTTCTATTGAGATGACAGGAAATGTTGAATATATTAAAGGGAAGTCTACATAAATCA